GCAGCAGCAGTGTGTGGGTAAAGCCCTGTTTTCCACCCACCCTGCGTTAACCAGGGTGCGCTTCTCTCCTGTGAGTCTGAGTAGAGCCCTCTCCTCCATCAACATCTTGCAATAAGAAAGTGACACCCCTCCTTGGCTCTGCCTGTGCGCGGGGCCCTGACTCTCATCCCCAAGCTATCGTAGAAGCAGCCCCACTCTGCCCAATTGCCGTCTTCATCCCTGACCAGCAGGAATGACGCAGCTGAGACTGGTCAGGACTCTCTCTTCTGTACCCCCACTGTGGTTCCATGCAGCACAGCACTCCTCCTCAGCCAGGTTTGTGGGCAAACCCTGCCTTCCATCCCCACCCTGCAGTAACTAAGAGGCGGCCTCTCCCTCCCCAGACTGTAGAGGAGAGTCCTGCCTTCGTGTAACACGCAAGTAGGGTAGGCAAAATAGCACTACAATGGCACCACAAAGGCTTTGTAAACTAGACTGACATTTGAACCACAGCCTACAAAAGTGAGCCAGGATGTGCATGCTAAATCTAAACAGGTCAACTGCCTGCTGAAATTGAAGATTTCATGGAACTGGACCCACTGCCTTATACCAAGTACAAAATATAAATTCAAAATAGATTAAAGACTTGAACATAAGACCTGAAACTGTAAAACTCCTAGAATAAAAACATAGGCAGTCAGCTCTTTGACATGGGTCTTAGCAATAATTTTTTGGGCCAGTCACCTCAGGCAAGGGCAACAAAAGCGAAAATAAACAAATGAGACTACATCAAACTAAAAAGCAAAGGAAACCATCCACAAAACAAAAAGGCAACCTACTGAATGGGAGAAGATATTTGCAAATCATACACTCAATAAGGGGTTAATATCAGAAAAACAACCCAATTTAAAAAAATGGTCAGAGGACTTGAATAGACATTTTTCCAAGGACTTAGACATGGCAAGCAGGCTCGTGAAAAGATGCTCAACATCACTAATCATCAGGGAAATACAAATCAAAACACAGTGAGATACCACATCACACCTGTCAGAATGGCTGTCATCAAAAAGACAAAAAATAACAAGCGTTGACAAGGATGTGGAGAAAAAGGAACCCTTGCACTCTGTTGGTGGAAATGTAAATTGGTGCAGCCACTATGGAAAACAATATGGAGGTTCCTCAAAAAATTTAAAATAGAACTCCCATACAATCCAGCAGTTCCACTTCTGGGTATTTATGCAAAGAAAATGAAAATACTAATTTGAAGAGATATATGCACCCCTATGTTCATTGCAGCATTATTTACAGTAGCCAAGATATGGAAGCAGCCGACGTGTCCATCAATAGATGAATGGATAAAGAAGATAATGGTGTGTGTATATACAATGGAATATTATTAAGCCATAAAAAAGAATGAAAGCTTGCCATTTGTGACAACATGGAGGGACCTAGAGAGTATTATGCTAATCAAGGGAAATAAGTCAAAGAAGGACAAATACTATATGATATCACTTATGTGTGGAATCTACAAAACAAAACAAAACAGAAACAGACTCATAGATACGGGAAACAAACTGATGGTTACCAGAGTGGGGACAGGTTGGGGAGGCGGGTGAAATAAGGGAATTAAGAGAAACAAACTTCCAGTTATAAAATTCGTAAATCATGGGGATATAATATACTGCAGAGGGAATATAGTCAATAATATTGTAGTAACTTTGTATAATGACGTGATAACTAGACTTACCATGATGATCATTTCATGATGTATATAAATATGGAATCACTGTGATGTACACCTGAAACTAATAGGATATTGTATGTTGTTTATACTTCAGTTTTTATAACGAAACTATAAATAATAAAATTGAAGATTTTAATAGGAACCAGAGTCTTATAACATTCAAAATATCCAAGATACAGTTCACAATTACACTTCATACCATTGAACCAGGAAAATCTCAACTCAAATGAAAAAAGACCATCAGCAGACATCAATATTGAGATGACACAGATGTTGGAATTTTCAGACAAGGAAAGCAGCTATCATAAAAATACTCCAGCATGCGATTATAAACACTCTTGAAACAAATGAAAGAAAGATAATAAAAGAAAACTAAATAGAAATTTTTATAACTGGAAAATTTATTAAGAAATAAACTCACTGGATGGGTTCAGTAATAGACTAGAGATGATAGAGGAAGGAATCAGTGAACCTGAAGATCAATCCGAAATTTTCTAATTCAAATCAGAGAGAGAAAATAGATTTTAAAAAGTGAGCTGAGCCTCAGAGACCTGGGGGACAATAACAAAAGATACAACATTTGTGTTGTTGGAATCTCGTAAGAGGATAAAGAGGCTGAAAAAGATGTTTGAAAAATTAGTGACTAAAAACTCCCCAGATTTGGCGAAAGCAGTCAGAGAAAAATGATGCATTACTTACTTGCTGATACTTTTATGTACATGAGATGTGTTAAGAACACTGTAGATGCAGAAGCTCTATAACCCCAGTCATGCAAGTCCTTTTCAGCATGTAGCATTCACACCTGACAAACAGGGACTGGCCTGGAGTTCACCTTAGCTTCTGACTGTAAGCTGATTATGACAACGCCGTATAACGAACCCTGGGGCACTCCATCGGAAAGGCCTCTCCAAATGTTATTTCATTCTTCTACATAATAAACAGAGTCATGGTAAACACTTATAGTTTACTACATGTAAGCATTTTATATATATTAACATTAACGCTTTGCACGAACCTAATAATAGAACCTAACAGTAAATCTAATAATAATAGATAAATACTATTGTTATTCCCACTTTACATAACTGAGGCACAGAAAGTTTTAAGTCACTCACTCAAAATCACACAGCTAGTGTAACCCTAAATTATAGAAGGTAAGCAACACGTTAAAATGCTCAGAGGAAATAAGGTCTTTAAAGTGGACGTTTTGCCATTGATTTACCTTATGATTGAATCAGAAATCTTATGTAGGGGCGGGCCCCCTGGCCAAGTGGTTAAGTTCGCACACTTTGCTTCGGCGGCGCAGGGTTTCGCCGGTTCGGATCCTGGGTGCGACATGGCACAGCTCTTCAAGCCACACTGAGGCTGCGTCCCACATGCCACAGCTAGAAGGACCTGCAACTAAAAATACACAACTATGTACCGGGGGCTTTGGGGAGAAAAAGGAAAAATAAAATCTTAAAAAAAAGAAATCTTATGTATTATCTAATATAGATATAAAGAGGAATTTGGAGTTTGGGTTATATCGTCATTTGGACGTTTTTTAACTATACAGAATGGTGTTGGGTCTTTTTTTCAGATAATATAGATTGAGCTCTTTGTTCTGCAAGCTTCTAATGTATTCAAAGAAGAAGCTGTTATTCTTTAGTGATAGTGGTGTTTAGGCACTGTTAGCACTGGCCATGCCATCTCTAGTGCTGTTCACTTACACACACGCATGCAAAGACTCAGCATCCCTCTACACCTAGCCTGTCTTTGCACATGGGAGGTGCTCCGCACGCATGAATTCCTCCCTTCGAGTCACCACAGGCCTTAAGTTCCTATTTCAAGTTGGCAGTGTCTACATGTTTAATGAAAGAATGATTCCATTTACAGGTTTTGGCTAATTGTCCTTGTCTCTGTTCATTGTTACTACCATATATATAGCTAGATGCAGCTTTACCAAAAGTCATAATAATGATGTTGATCACCAGTATTTGTCTAGCCTTTTGTAATATGCAAAGCACCTTGAATGCATTGGCTCATTAATTCTCATAACAATTCTGTGAGGTAAACGCTGTGCTCCTCTTTCTGCCAAAACAGCGAGCAAAACTGAAGCTTGCCCAAGGACCACAGACAGTGGTCATGTTTTTATATGATTTTCAAATTGATTTCATTAAGACCTGGCTATAAACTGCGTATAACCCACTGGGGTCAGATTTATAAGAAGTCAGCATCAAGTTTCCATGAACTTAAAGACAAATGGGTTATGTCTTAAAAAACCTAAAGGTGACATTTATTTTACTTAAATTATTCAGCTATGGCTTATCACTCTTCAGTCTAATTTAGCAAAATATTTGTATTCCTCTCTATCCCTTCTAAAATTGCATCGTGTTCTTGTTGAAAATAAGATGTCTCAAAATATTAACTAGAAAGTGTTTGGGTTCTGGCATCTTAGAAGTTATAACCCAGTAAAATTACAAAGCAAAGGAATAACTTCAGTAGTGGAATATGGTATAAGAGTTAAAATCGTGGCCTCCAAAATCCTCTGTAGGCTTGAATCCCACCTCCGCTACATACTAAGCACACGGCCTTGGGTAAATTACTCACACTTTACGTGCTTGTCTTCAGATTTATAAAGTGAGAAGGTAATGGTACCTGTTTCATAGAGTTTTGTGAGCTTAAATGAAATAATAAATGTAATGCACTTGGAATAGTGCTTGGCATTAGTAAGCTCGTAATAATAGCAGTAGCAAATAATAACTGTGGCTGTTTTTAGCTCCTAGATGACTTATATATTCATTCTTTCATATATATGCAGAAAGGATTATGAATAGATATAAATATGAGCAGCAGCATCTTAAGTGGGCCTGGGGTATTCTCTTTCGGAAGTCCAATTTCACCTCATATCAAATGTTATTAAAACGCAATTATATCCCACATTAAGTGTAATTTTTATGTAACTTTCAAGAAACAGATAAATTTTTAATTGGCTACTGGTATAATACTACGTTTTGTAGTCATTTAATTAAACACTTATTAATTTGGGTTGGGTTGGTATTCTCCTGAGACCACAGAGCAAGTAAATGATGAAGCATGAGCTGGACTTCTGGTCTTCTGACTTATAACCAAAATTTTCCAAGAGAAAAGATGGGAAGAATGTTTCCTGACTCTGCAGGAACTGCTGGAAGCTAGTCTTTTAAACCTAATTCAGGCTGGAGTGTCTTGCCAAAATAAACACTTCAGAATGCTCAAAACTGAAAATAATAATGAGTTTTCCCTGTCTTTATCTTTTTAGATTGTGGTTTGAATGTTCATAAGCAGTGTTCCAAGATGGTCCCAAATGACTGTAAGCCAGACTTGAAACACGTCAAGAAGGTGTACAGTTGTGACCTCACAACGCTCGTGAAAGCCCACATCACGAAGCGGCCGATGGTGGTGGACATGTGCATCAGGGAGATTGAGTCTAGAGGTGAGCGTCTCCAGGGTGGTGCAGAGCGTCGTAATTCACCGTGAATGCGGGTCCTAATGCCTCTGGGTGTCTTGTTGCGCAACCTGGTTATCTTCTTCTGGAAGTTTAGGGGGAGTGATTTCAGATGGCACATGATCTGGAAGTCTGAAATGAATTAATTCAACACATAATTAAACAGCTTGATTTCAGGTACATTTAACAAGTGAGAGGAAATATGCTTAAAAATATATTTATGGTGATGCTTCCAGTCTATAAAAGTTGACATGTAGGTACCAATTCATTTTTCAGTTTTTATATTTTTCTTGGGTCCGAGAAGCAAAGATGTAAATGCTTTATTAAAACTATCCTAGGCCAAAAACCAGAGCTGCACCCTAATTATTCTTACCCACTTGGGAAAAACTGCTACAGGCCTATGGATGTAGTTTATCTTAGTCTTCTGTTATGTAAAAGAATTTATGGTGTAATTGGGGTGATGAATTATTTCCCTTAAGACTTAACATATTTGATCTAATTAGACATAATGATGAGCCAGATAATAAATATTCAGGTGACAGTAGGTCGGAGTTAAAGAACTGTGAGTGAAATGGTTTTGTTTTAGAAAAGTGTGAAGAGGTTTCTAAACATATATATTTCATCATTCTTTCTGACACATTACTTCCGCAGCCTGAAGCATAGGAAGAAGTTAAAATGTGAAGAAAAGGCGTAATTCCAAAGAAACTAACTAGCACCCTTGCTTTATTTTACAGGTCTTAATTCTGAAGGACTGTACCGAGTGTCAGGATTTAGTGACCTAATTGAAGACGTCAAGATGGCTTTCGACAGAGGTATGTTCTTCAGCGTGTTCGTTAACTTAGGACAATAATACTCTTTGGCGAAAAGGCACAATTTATTATGTTAGTCTGTGCATTATTTTTCTAAATCATTGATAATTATTATACCAAATAAAAAGACTCAGCTTATAATTTACTATTTATTTATTTTTTTTTAGTTGTAAATATTAAACTATTAAATTTCAGGGTGAGAAAGAAGCCTAAAATTTAACTATATTACCAATATTTAAGCATCCAAGGCTGGTCCGTGTTCACCAAAATATATACAGAGCAATTAAATTTACCAAAAACTATAGAGCAAAGGGGGAGTGGGATCTAAGTCATTACAGATCTCAGATTTCCCAGGTTTGAGTTAGCCCACCTAACTCTGCCTGTCCTCCAGGCTTCCTGGACATCCTGGTCACCATCTTTGACTGAGCTGAGACCTAAGTCCTGGCTCATGTGTCACAGACACGAAGCTGAGGGCTTTCTGGGATAGGACCTGCCACACTGTGGGAGGAGGGGCTCAACCAAAGAAGAGCTCAGTGGGGATAATTTTGTCTTAACTAGCATTTAAATTAAGATTTGGTCTTGTGGTTCTCTCATTTGTCTTTGCTTTAAGTACTGGAGTAAGGTGGTACCAAAGAAGAGTTGTAAGCCTGGATACAGAAAGTGAAACAGAATAAGAGTTGTGATGTTTTAAAGAACCTCTTTCCTTTGCAAATATATATGTCTAGTTCCATTACACTCCTCTCCATCACAAGCCTCTTACAGCCAAGAGAGGCAGAAGACAAAAATAAATTAAATATTATTACCAACCTGATATGAGGAACTCTGGGCCAGCCCAAGTATTGATAAGCTCAAAGAAGATGAGGTGAAGTAATGGCGTGTTAAGCCCAGGTGAGCATCCAGAACAGTCCTGAATCAAGGCCAGATTGAACGTTAAGAGGCATCTCTTTTTCTCTGGAAGGGAGCAACTGAGCATGTCCATACCCAGCCACCGGTCATGATGCTCAAAAATAACTCAGGGCTGACAGAGAAACTGAATGTTTCCGTGTGCCCAGAAAGCAAACAAATGACAGTTTCCTCTCTTTAAAAATATGAAACAACCTTTTTGTGCCCTGAAAACACCAATAACAGGTTTGAAAATTCATGAAGAACTCACCTTGGCTCCATAAAGCCACACCCTTGAGGCCAGTCTTTGACACCACCCACCCACCCCATCCCCCAGAGATGTGCCCCAGCCATCATCTGCGGGATCTGTAGGAATGATGTGGAGAATTTTAACAAGGGTGTGAAAGAAAACAGTGGCTCAGATCATTTAAGTCAATTCTGTGCATAAGTGCTGCCCCAAATCCATGAGTGTTCAGAGGAATAGGGTATCAAATAAATGGAGCACAGTAAATTTGAAGCTATCAAAGATGATCACTTCTGGGAGTCTCAACCCTCAAATAACGAGATCTAAGGAAAAAGAAGGTAGGCTCTATAGAACGCCAGAAAGATCTCATTCAAGTGTCAGAGTAAAAAAGCAGGATTTGGAAAATCTTCCCCAGCTTAGGAAATCGTCACCGAATGGAGCACCAGCTACTCCCAGGTCAGCGCATGCCGTTACAACTTTGCCACGTTTTGTCTCTGGTGGAACAGCAAATATTTACGTGACCAGTACAGTGAGAGGTCCAATAGGAAGGTCAAAGAAAATAAAAACCTTTGAGTCTTGGCCCAGCACAGCCCCAGTCTGATTGAAGAGTCACAAGCTGAAAGTCATGAAACAGTCTGGGAACAAAAGATGTTACAGACTGTGCTGCTGTGTTACAGCCCTACTGAGAATGTAGTCTCTGCGTATCAAAGTCCAGAATGTGTTTATATTATTTTAAAACAGGTGGAAGAGAATACACAGATTCTTATTAAAAGCTTATTAAACTTACTTAAAAGTTTAATAATAATATACATACTAAGTCCCAGAGTGTTAATCTTTTAGGCTCCTAGCTTTTTAAAATCTATTCTCCATTGATTCATTAACTCAAAAATATTTATTAAATGGCCACTGTGTACCTGGTACCATGTTCTTTACTTTAGATACAGCAGTATCATGTACTGTGTACACTTGGTCATTGCACTCACGGAGGGTTTGCATTAAAAAATAATCACACAATGGTTATTGATTTTATTTTAATAAGTGCCATAAAGGAAAACATTAATAACTGGGGAAGTTAACCTAGTCATTAGGGTTGGGGGTGGGTGCTGGAGATCAGAAGAGACTTTCTCAGAGATGAAATATTTATGCATTTTTGCTAAAGCTTAAAGGGTGTGTTTTTGGTTGAGTAGCAAAGAAACAGGATATGTAAGGCCCTGGCAACAGAAGAGTATGTGCAAAGGCCCTGAGGCTGACCTTGTCAAGGCACTGAAAGGTGCTGTGACTTAGAGAGTAATAAGTGAAAGGAGAGTAGACTGAGATATAATGAACACAGTATTTTACCATAGAAAGAATTATCTGAGTGGTAGAAGATTCACAAACCAACCTCCGTATTCTGTTTAACCCATCACATAGCTGATAGAAGAATTGTGACTTTATTTTCCAAACCAAAAATTGTGCTGTAGCCTATAATGAGACAGGCTATTTGAAATCTGGATTCTTATAGAAAAATAACTAATAGATCCTGGAAACAGAAGCCATGTGGCAGAATAGAAAGAAATTTCTTCTTTTTTCCTCAGTAAACACTTTGATAGAGGTGATATTTGCCTTTGTCACTTTTCTACCTACCTTCCTGATCTCTCATCCCATTCTCCAGGTCTGTAGGCCCCCAGCACCTACATGCTTCCCTAAGCTCCCCCAATGAAGCAATCTACATTGCCTTTTCCTTCCAGAAAATGCTGTATCCCAATTTGCACTGCCACTGCATGTGATTTCAACCCAAGTGTGAAAGGTGGACACTGATGACCTAATTCACACTTGAATGTGAGTGTCTGATAGGCCAAGGTATTTGCATTTTTAAAAGAGGTTGCTTTAAAAAAAATAGTCTTTTGGGGCTGGCCCCGTGGCCGAGTGGTTACGTTCGTGCGCTCCGCTGCAGGCGGCCCAGTGTTTCGTTGGTTTGAATCCTGGGTGCGGACATGGCACTGCTCATCAAACCACGCTGAGGCAGCGTCCCACATGCCACAACTAGAAGAACCCACAACGAAGAATATACAACTGTGTACTGGGGGGCTTTGGGGAGAAAAAGGAAAAAAATAAAATCTTTTAAAAAAAAATAGTCTTTATTTAGAGTAGTTTTAGGTTTAGCAGAAAATAGAGAGATTCCTCATATAAGCCCTCCCCACAGCTCCCCCATTAACATCTTGCATTAGTACAGTACATTTATTACAATTTATGAACCAATATTGATACATTACTATTAACCAAAGTCAATAGTTTACATTAAGGTTCATTTTTTATGTTGTACAGTTTTGTGGATTTTGGCAAATGCTTAATGTCATATATCCATTACGGTACCATACAGAACTTTCACTACCATAAAAATCCCCTGTGCGCCACCAATTCGTCCTTCCCTTCCTCCCCTGAACCTCTGGCAACCACTGATCTTTTTACTGACTATAGTTTTGTCTTTCCCAGAATGTCATATAGTTGGAATCATAGAGTAAATAGCCTTTTCAGACTGGCTTTTTTTACTTAGCAATATGTATTTAAAATTCCTCCATGTCTTTTCATGACTTGATAGCTCATTTCTTGTTCTTTTTCCTTTTTTTTTTTCATGAGGAAGATGATCAGCCTGAGCTAACATCTTTTGCCAATCTTTCTCTTTTTGCTTGAGCAAAATTGTCGCTGGGCTAACATCTTTGCTCATCTTCCTCTGTTTTGTATGTGGGATGCCACCACAGCATGGCTTGATGAGCGGTGCACGGGTCCATGCCCGGGATCCAAACCTGTGAACCCTGAGCTACCAAAGCAGAGTGCACAAACTTAAACACTACGCCACCAGGCCAGCCCTGCTTATTTCTTTTTATAGCTGGATAATATTCCATTGTCTGGATGTACCTCAGTTTATCTGTTCACTGTTTGGAGGACATGTTGGTTGCTTCCAGTTTTTTGGCAATTATGAATAAAGCTGCTACAAACATTCATGTGCAGGTTTTTTTGTGGACATAAGTTTTCAACTCCTTTGAGTAAACACCTAGGAGCATGGTTGCTGGATTGTATGGTAAGAGTAGTTTAGCTTAGGAAGAAACCACCTGTCTTCCAAAGTGGCTTTCCATTTGCATTCCCGCAGCAACGAATGGAAGTTCCTGTTGCTGCACAGCCTCACTAGCCTTTGGTGTTGCTGGTCTTCTAGATTTTAGCCATTCTAATAGCCGGGTAGGGAAGAGGCTGCTTTTTAATCCATAGCAATCTCTCATAAACCAAATGGAATAAAAGAAATGCAGCATAAGACCTAGCTGGGAGTAGATGCTATTTAAATCTTTAGTAGATGAAAATTCAGGTATTTTAATGAAGTAAAATACTTAATGCAGGGGAGTGTAGAAGGGGCCACTGGAAGGAAGGCCAGCTTTGCTAGAGAGTCTTAGGGCCCAGCACCCCTAAACTATTCCTCTCTCTTATAATTGCTTCTTGCTATTTCAACGCTCAAAAGTTTTGTTTTGCTTTTTTTTTACTTGCCGCTACCTCCCCTGCCCCAAGAACTCAGGCAAGATCCAAATGTTCGCGTAGGAGCCTGGGGGGGTGGTCCAAAAGCACAAAAGCCCAGGCCTGGGTGCCTCCTGTGAGCTGGGAGGGCCTCTGTCGTCATTTTTCACATTCTGTTTATTTTAAAAAGGAAAAAAGCAATCCCACAGTATTCCCCTAGGAATTCTCAAGTAGCCATGAAATTTAAACATATTTCTGTTGACTTCAGTCCTCTCCTGCTTTCCCCTCCATAATTAAACATGGAAAATTGAGGAACTTCAGAACAGAAAATTCAAAGAAATAGATTTTGGTTTTCACAGGAAATTGATCATTTTTATATATATCATTTATCTCACTGAATTTGATGTTGAAAACTGAAGCATCGCTCATCTTTAAAAACCATATACAAAAATATGTCATTCATTAAAACAGTGCTGTGAATCCAGATATTTACTTTTTTTTCTTCTAACCTCTTTCAAAGATGGTGAGAAGGCAGATATTTCTGTGAACATGTATGAAGATATCAACATTATCACCGGTGCGCTGAAACTGTACTTCAGGGATTTACCGATTCCGCTCATCACCTACGACGCCTACCCCAAGTTTATCGAGTCCGCCAGTAAGTGGGAGGCGGGCTTGCCGACCTCTTCGTGGTGACCAACTTCTCCTCTTTTTCCTGCCGAGCATCTTGAATGCATTTTATGAAATATTTCCCCGTCGCCTCTCTCCATGCTTAATATACTCACAAGAATTTTGAACTCTTCTCTAGCATAGTTTATGACCATCAGAAGCTTCTTTGGAATGTGCTAGACCTCATTTTCCAAAGGAAGGCTTCTTAGATATGGGCCAATACTTTGGTAAAATAAAGTAAAAATGAATGACTTGAAAAATAAAATTGGAAAAACCAGACTAACTATTTTATTAGATTTTCAGCAAGCACAAAAATTTGTCAGACTGCTATGAAAGTTTCTAAATTCTTACTCTTAATGTCTGTCCTTATCCTGTGACAGACCATGAACAAATACTTTGCAAACTGGCACTGGTCTGCAGATCATACTTTAAGGAGCAAGAAGTTATTTTTTAAGTTCTAGTTAAGATGAAAATGAGAAAAAGCAGAGGCTCATTTGCCAAATTTTATTTATAGTGTAAAAATCTTACCTGTAATTCACACTTCCTTTTTTTAAAAAAGGGAATTCTTAACAGATTTTTAAGTGCTGGCATTACCATTTTTTAGAAAAGATAAGCTATTTCTGTCATTTGCTGTTCTCTCTTAAAAGCCGTATGTTGTCTTGATCTTTAAATAATAACATCACTTCCTTGGTAACATTGATTTGCTTTTCGACTTTGAAATTTCATGAAGTACAAACTTCCTTTGTTCTGAGTTTTGGTTTCCTCTTCAGAACTTTTGTTGAGAATGTTTGTGGTTGAGTTTGTGGAGCGCTGATTTCTTATGGGTCAGCCCAAGGTCCCATGTAGAGAACACTCGTGAGAATTACACTGCTTTCTACTAAGTTTCATGTTAGAAGCCTAAAAGACTCTAGATCTCTTCCTTAGGAATTTAACTCTTCTCATTTGGGGATGGATTCAGTGCCGATCATGAAGATTGTCTGAGGGAGCTTACAGGGTCTTGTTTCTGGGGCAGACATTTCCTCCTCAGAGAGAGAAGTCTGATTGCCACGAGACTGGAAAGCGCTTGACACACACTGACATCGTGAAGGGCTGCTCAGTCCCTGGTTTGCTCTGCTCCCAGGACAGCACTGGGGGCTCGACCACACAGTGTTCCTGTCCCTGCATTGCGTGGGAGTAAAGCCGAAGCTTGGCTCCTAAGCCTAACCCAAGGGCAGGCCCACGGCGGAGGACAGAGCCGTGGTTCAAACCCCAGTCTTGACCTCTGCACAACGCCTTCTCTGCTTGGAGGAAAATCCAGGCCCGCCATATGAGATTTCAAGGCCTTTTACCCCACACTCCCAGACAACCTCACCCTCCTCCCCACACCCACCCTGTTAGTGAGGAGGACCTCCCCTCTTTAGTGTTCTTCCAAGCCATTTGTCATCGTTCTGGGGTTTGTGTCTGAAACAGCCCTCCTGTCTGAAATCAGCACACCCCTTAGCTCACCCTCCAAGAGCTCTTGAAAGCACATCGAAAGAAAGAAACTTTCCTAAATCAAGGTAGACATTCCCTCTCCTTATAATTTCAGCTCTTTGATATGTGATACCGAACTGGCATAATACTTATACACAATATAACCTTTATTGTACGTGTTTGATAGTGATGTAATTGCAGGACGTTGTGTCCTTGTACATGTCTTTTCTAGCAGTAGAGTCTGTTTCCTTTTTTAGACGCGTAGATAAAGCCAGTCTCTGCATAAGCCATCCTCTCATCTGTGTAGGTAGATGAGGAAGAAGAGGGAGGCTAAGATTTATAGAGCATGTGCGTGGTGCCGGGAATCATGTTGGGTACTTTACATCCATGATGTTGCTTTAGAAAAAATGAGATATTATAGGGTGTAAGGAAATTGTCCAAGGTGCCATCACTAGAGGAAGTGGCACTGGCATTCAGACCCACATCTGTCTAACGTCAAAGCCTTTGCTGTCTCTACTCTGCACACTGCCTGGCTCCCGTGATGGAACAGGGAACAAGAGACGTACACAGAGGAGGAAGACGGGAGGGCAGGAACACCTTCCAAATGGAAGACAGGGCTCGCTGGCCCTTCCTGAGGCAGGTGCTCTTGAACTTCTTCATCTCTCAGCCCCTGAAAAAATGTGGGTCATGTTCTTGGATCTCAGGTGTCTCTGGCATTTATTAGCATCCCTGGCAACAGCTTTCTCCTGCAAAAGATGTTTGAGCTCTGCTGTTGCAGCCTCCCTTGGAGACCCTGCAAGTTGAAAGCTGGAAGGGAGTGGCTACAGGAAATGAAAAGGGGCTGCAAGGGCGGAGGAGACCAGGGCATTCCATCTACAGGCTTGAAGATCTACATAATCCCCTGGAAACTCCTTTAGGAACCATCTGGAAGTCTTTGTCTACGGGGCCGTTCTTCCTCGCTTCCTCTCCCCACCAGTTAAGAAACTGGTGCCCTACAATAGAAAGGCCTAGAATTCCGACAGGTGCTTCTCACAGGGCCTGCTCAGTAACCCAACAGTCATGGGTTACTGAGGTTCCTGACCACCTTGCGAACAGCACTGCCAAAGCTGAACTCCTGGTAGGACCGAATGTGGCAATCTTCCTCTGGCCAGGGAGTCTCAGAACTCTGTTCCCAGAAGACCTTAGAAAAGCTACATGACTCAGTATATAACCTTGAGTGAGTCAGATAAACTCAGAAATAAAACCCCCGGCTTCTTTGTCCCCAGTCACTTCAAATTTCCTGAAGAGAAGCCTGGGAATGAGAACTTGCTGAGTTTTTCCCTCAACTCTGCCACTGATTCACCCTTTTGTTTGACTAAGTTTTATTCTTCTCGTATTTGAGTTTCTCTTTTACAAAGAATTAACAGTGTGTAGTTTAAAAAGCTTTTAACTAGATGTTGGTGCAAGTTTAGGGTGCTTATTTCCTGCCCCCACACTGTCCACATTTCCATATCCTTCCAGACCCTCCTCAAGTGCCATCTCTTCTTCTTTCCTCTTCCTCCCATCCACGAGCCATCTTTTTCCTCTATTCCCATTGTGCTTGGCCGGGACCTCTTTTCCAGCCTCCTTCCTTCATGCCTGGAGGTTGTACTCCTGTCTTGTCTTCCCTACTAGACTTAGGCCCCAGTTCTCTTGCTCATGTTTATTTTCCCACAGCACCTATGATAGTCCCTCGCTTACATAATAGGTGCTCAATAAATATTTGTTGAATGAGTAAACATAATTTTATATTGAGAACCTTAGAATCTTAGAGTTTTTGGGTACTCTAAGGAGTCATGTAATTAGACTTCCTTCTACAATGTATTCTTTTTTAAATACCCAGTAACTGCACCATCACTGCTTCTCTAGGCAGCCAGTCCTCTGGCGCACAGGTGTAACAATGGTAAAGCCCACTCCTGCACAACAGAAATCTACCTGCTTACAACTCCTCCCATTGGCAGTGGTCCTAGTATCACTCTCTTCCACAGGCAAGCTTTTCATATATTTGAAACAACTAATGATGGCCATTCATCTCTGAATACGTTCCATTTCGTCTATCTCCCACTTAAATTATGCTGTGGTCTTCTTGGGGCTAGAGATTTGTGTTCTCTGAAAAATTGATCATGGTTAATACTCTAAGTGGGAAAAAAAAGAGGAATTAATCCCAGAGAATAATCTCTGTCAATTTAATATCAGTTTATTCAAATGCATTTTGTCATATGTTCCCAAATTTATATCTCCAGTCTGGACGTCTCCCTGGACACCAGATGTTTGTTTGGCTGTCTGAAAGACATCTCGAACAGACTCTGCATCCTCCCCACCAAGCCTCCTCCACCTGTGATCTTCCCCAGCTCAGTTCATGGAGGCTCCGTCCTCCCAGCTGCCTCAGGAAATCCTGTGGCCTCCACCTTCAAAATGTACCCAGAATCCAGCAACTTCTTAGCACCTTCATGCCCCACCCGGTCTAAGCTAGTGTTGTTCCTTGTCTGGAGTTTTGTAATAATTGCTGGGATGGCCTTTCTGCTTTACTCTTGCCCTTCCGTAGTCTGTTCCCATGTGGCATCCAGAGGAGAGAGACTGTGAAAAGTGTATGTCAGCTCATGCCCCTCCCTTGTTCAGAACCTTTCCATTCCTCTCAGTAAGTGCCAAGTCCTTAGAGCCGCCTACAGCGCCTGACATGAAGGGGTGCCCCGTTGGCCTTCTGACGCCACCCCTTACTTTCCTCTTTGCTTGCACTACTGCAGCCACATTTGGCTTCTTTTCCTCAGACATTACAGGCATACCATCCCACAGGATCTTTGCACGGCTGTCCCTCTGCCTGGAGCCATCTTCCCCCAGATTTCCACATGGTTCATTCCCCCACCTCCCTCAGAGTTTGTACTCAAAACCTTCTTTCCCACTGAGGTCTATCCTGACCACCCTAGTTAAAATTTATCCTGCTGTTTTTTCCCCCGGCACTTGCCTCCTTCTAATGTAGTGTAAACTGTAAGATGCCATATTCATTGTTTATGGTGAGTCCCCTGCCAATACAAAGTACCCTCTCTGTGAGCAGGGAATTCTGTTTACTTGCTCGCCCACCAACACTGTCCTTAATTTCACACCATCTCAGGGTTCTCCCTACAAAGACTAATTGTGGAAGTCAAAAGGAAACCATTAGTCTTTTTTCAATTTCCAGAGTAGTATGGTTTCAAATTAATTAGTCTTGTGGTAAAAAGTCTGCATTGCATTCTTCTGAATATCCTAAGTAGTAGAATATTTTTGTGCTTTGAGAGTAGATTTGACTTTTTTATATAACACAAAGTAATTTAAAACTCAGTCTAAGGAATAAAGGCAGTAAATATTGGATGATATATGTCTGGGTTTAAAACGCATGAATATCAATTAATAAGAGTTTGGCAGGTGTTACAGAGGGCAATGGGGTGGCATAGCTTGTAGGCCATCACTGAAAGGGGATTTTCAAAATATTTTGAACAGTGTAACATCCCTTAAGTATGTCTGTAATGTTCTAAGAAGACCTCATTTGAGTTTTTATCTATGTCTACTTGTGTCTGAATTTTTTATAGTTACGTCCTATATATCCAATTTCCATATTTACCAGACTCCAAGACAGTCTAGGCAAACTGTGGGCTCCCCGCAAAAGTCCAGTAAATGGTATTGCCACCCTGAAACTAAGCCTTTGGAAATCTGAGACTTGAACCTTAAAAACATTTTCCAAAGCTGTGTGGCAAGGATCTATGAAAAAACATTTCTTAGCAGTTTGGAAGATCACCACAAGAATAGAATTAAATGAACCATTTCTACCAGTTGTCTGTTAACGTTTTTCTCCTTATTATTCAACTTGCTGCTTTAGAAATTATGGATCCCGATGAGCAGCTAGAAACCCTTCACGAAGCACTGAAACTCCTGCCGCCCGCTCACTGCGAAACCCTCCGGTACCTCATGGCGCATCTGAAGAGGCAAGTTACAGCCTGGGAGGCTTGTGCTTGTACTGCACCCAAATTATAAGAATCAAAGGAGACGAAAGGTGAAAGAAAGGACAGATGATCTATTGAGTGAATAAATAAATGCATAGCTAGGTTGTCTTGTGTGAAGTTGCACAAGTTGAGGAGGAATGCGAAGTATTCACACTGCAATCTGGAATGCAGACTTGACTGTGACAGCAGTGTATTTGCAGTTCCAGGCTATGTGTGCAAATAGGCCAGAAATACCCACATTCTGCCAAGCCCATGCATTAATTTGGGGGGAAAGGGCAAAGGTCGGAGCTGTGAAAACACCAGCATTAGCATAATAAAGCAAGGGCAAAGCAAGCTAGAGAGGAGGGCTCACTCTTCTCACTTCCTGCTCCAGAATGGGCGCCTCAGAGTGGTGCTGGGATTGCAGATCTTTGAATGAGTGTTGCCCACACTGAAAAGTCTGTAAGAAGTGATGGAGTACAGCGGGAGGTAAAGCGAGGAATGGAAAAATCAAATATTTCAGTTAGTTCTGGTTTAATGTTTTAAAGTGATAGTTGGGGGCATAGCTTGTTTCCCTGCTCGGTAACCCTCCATCTCTGCCAGTTAAGGCAAAGTTTTTAAAATTTTATGACCAAGTTTTAGTGGTTTTAGGATTTCAAAATATAAGACCAATCAGATACAAAAAAGACAGCAGAACTTAACATCTACTTTGTCTGCCTTTAGGCATGAGTTACCCAAAAATGAATATTTAACTCATGGTGCTTTTAACAAGCACGCATTTTCCCTCTTCAAGAGCACTGAGTTAAAACTTTTGTTTAATTTGCTTACAACTTCACCTGTAAATTAAAGTTTCTCCATATTTGGATGCAGTTAAGTGCTCCACACTCAAGCGATAGTCTGTGTACCTTTGCTGAGGCAGGAAGAAGAATGTAAACACGCTCCCTGACGAGGTTGCTGCCCCCGAGCCATTTCCTATTAATATCTCTACCACTCTCCCTAGACACTCAATCAGCCATTCGACTGGCAGAAATACTCTACAGGAAACAAGGTAGCCAAAGTGGAAGGAGAACTGATGAAATAATTGAGACAGCCAGTCCCATCTCTATTTGCACACGTACCCCTGCAGCCACAGGGTGTGGCAAGAGAAGCCACAAATAGAACTTGAACCACACAGTCCAGCACATTAACTCTGGCTTGAGCTTCAGGGATCACCAGAAGTTTAAAGCATGTGTTAACATAATTTACTTTAAGGAAAGTCAGTGCTTTGACATTAAGGAGAAGTACAGAGAAAGCGCCTACTGTAAGAGTTAAGTGGGCACAAGCCTTTGTTGTGAATGTTCTTGTTTTAGCGCCAAAGCAAGGTGAAGAACCCCATGGCTTACACGAAGTCATGCTCCTTTCCGTGTGTTTTCCAGAGTGACCCTCCATGAAAAGGAGAATCTTATGAATGCCGAGAACCTGGGGATTGTTTTTGGCCCGACCCTGATGAGATCTCCCGAACTTGATGCAATGGCCGCACTGAACGATATACGATACCAGAGACTGGTGGTAGAGCTGCTTATCAAAAATGAAGACATTTTATTTTAAAGTTTTAGTTTGAGGGAAAAAAAAGATGTTTTACAGATGAAGGAATGTTTTATAGTAATTTAATTGGTTCTTATAGCTGAATTATTTCTCGGTTAGAGATTTGGGCATATAACCAGATTAAAATGAAGGAACTTCCCCTTGTTTTTGTAGCACCGCTCAGCTGTCCTTGTAAAACACTGCACACACGCTTTCCAGTTCTAGTAATCCTGGGTGTTCATTATGTTAAGAGAAACTCAAGCTATTGCATGCCCAGCCCCCTGCTTGGCAAGAGAATCCCGTGCAAAGGGGACAACAAGCCTGCGCCGCCTCTTCGTCCTGGGTAGTCTGTGGTTGTAACTCAGCATGTTTCGCAGAGTAAATCTGTCGTGGCTTCACTTTTGGGTCCTATGTCTTGGTTTCTGATGCTTATGTAAACATGCACACGAGTGGATAAACCAGCCCCGCTGGCTGCTGCATTGCCATAGACTAGAACATATGCCGACTTTTCTCGAAGGCTTGATCTCTGGTTTCTCTTAGTTCCTCTCTAACATAGTGCTTTCTTTCCAGCAGAAGCAAAATGCGTTTTCAGATTTGTTACTTGAGTAAATTATCCATACCAATAAAAAAGTACAACGCAGATCCTTTTCTGTTAAATTATTATTGGTTTTCCGTTGTAATTTTGTGTTTTTATCCGGCATGCATTTATTAATTAATTAAATTTGCCTTTTAGAAATCAAAAAAATTGAGAGCTTACTTTTTTCCCATGATTGGGAGTATTCGGAAAAATGTGTTTGGCCGGTTTTTTAATGCTGAGTATTCCCTCTCACCTCTTGTTTACTGTTGAAAGTTTTGTCTTGAGCACCTAAACAAATAATTTAAAACTGCTTGGAAATAGAGCACTCATTCATTGGATTTCTTTTTCTTCTTGCATATTCTGGCTGAAATCTAGAATATTCCTCGATTTGGGGTGGTTGGGGCAGACAGGAGTTCCTTCTACAGCCATCGGAAAAAGAAACAAGGCTAAGTAAAAAGAATGATTTTCTAAGCATTTGGTTTGTCAGAAATGCGTGATGTTGACATTCCATTGAGCTGACGATGCTGCCTGAGCTGGGTCCCAGATAGCAACCTGACAACGGAGGAAGGGGGGTTTGCATGCAGGGAGATGCCAGGAAACCCAGAGAATGGGGCTGGTACTGTCACTAGCCACCCATGTGGCTTTGAGCAAATGACACTCCAGAGTTTGCTTGCTTGTGTGTCAGATGAGCATCCCGCCAGAACTGAAGTTCTCTCCTGCTTTAAGAAGTTTAAAAAAAAAAAAAAGGACTGGACACATTTCCATTTTTGCCATTTCAATCCTTAATACTTTTAAGACTATCTCAAAGATAATGGAAACTGACAGAAATATGGAGTTTTTCTGTATTTTTGCTCCTGGGTTATAACCGGAAGTTGGTAGTATGTTTTTATTAATGTTTATATTCAGAAAAGTATGGGTATTCAGGAGATGGTCCACCACAGCCATCCTCTCAACCACCGTCTCCTGTGAAGAATGTCATTGCACTGAGCAGCATTGGATATTGGATACATATATGAATAAAGTACAGGAAATGTTTTATATAACAGAAGATTTCTTTAAGAGGGAGGCCACTAAAAGGCACTATCCACCGAAGGAATGCTTTTGACTCACGAAATACGTTTGTCAGAGAAATCGGATCAGCTGACGCCGTCCGTGGGTTAGGCAGACCTCCTGAACCGTGGGGTGCTCATGGCTGCACTTCATTCTGTGCAGTCCTCTTAGAGGACAAAATCCGTGTAAAGAGATATGCTTTATTAGAACGTAATCACCCTATTTTTTTCCTAAAAGGAATAGATATGATTGACTTTAGAGTAAACATTTAGTATAATTAGACATCAATCTGGAGCAAAAGCAATGCCTAATATTAAATATTAAGCAGATGTTAAAGTTCCGAGGATGTCTCCAGACAAGGTTACTGTTGACCAGGTCTGTGAACTAGTGCACTTGCTGTGGTTTTAAACAGATGGACATGAGGTTCATCCCTCCAGGATGTGCAGATCCAAGTAACAGCTACGTCATCTGTGAGCGCTCTTGGACTGCTGGGTGACGCTCCTTGAAATGAACATACAATTGCCAGTCCCTTAGGGAGGTCCTTACGCAATAATTAACCAGAGTCTTTTATACACATCTTTCTGCGGCCACTGGGAGATTTCTTAACTCATGACCTTTCAGGATGAGGCAGTGGTTTCTGTTTATTCCCACTACAGTGTGGAGTGGGAGGAGGGACCCACCGACCTCTCCATGATCACCCACGGATTTGGCAGCACTACAGATCCTCTGCCCTGGATGTAAAGTCCATTTCTTCTCAATTTTCTATATATAGTTTTAAAGAGATTATTGAGAAATTAAAGATTTTCCCATCACTCTCTCTTCGTTAGTTTTTAATGCCAGTTAGTTATTCCAGCTGACCAGAGGAAGTAGTTCTTTGCTGAATTGAGTAAAAAATGTGCCTCCAAGTGGAAGAATGGCTATTTATCAAAATGTTTCCAGTTACTTAATGAACTCAAATGGAAGGCCTCTGAATAAATTAGGTTCAGAGTTCCACACTGTTCATTTTTAACAAAATATTTTAGAGTTTATAGCCCCAAGGCTGATTAGGTATTATTGGTAAGCCCACTTAAAAGAGCAAAAAGTTTCATTTGGGTTTTTTTCTAATGCACTTTGGAAAAGCAGGATACCCAAAACTCTTCTCCCAACTGTGTATTTTAGTCATTGGGAGGACAACCTCTTATGGAACTCTGTAAGCGTCCCTATAGTGATTTGCCTGGAACAGCTGTATGGCATTCACATTTGTCTATTTCTGTTAAGTAAAAGGCATTTCTTTTTCTGAGCTGAAGTAATAGTGATGTTTACATCCCATTGTCACACATCACACTTCCACTGAACATCTGGGCGGTTCTGACCCTCGATTGGCATGCATTGTGATGGAGTGCCGGAGAAGGCTAAGGAGAGTAGAGCGTTGTCAGGGATCTGTCAGCTCCTCTAATGTTTAGAGATCTAGTTCTCGCTTGCATTCTCTCTCCAAGGGAAGCCCAGACCTGCATCCCCTGGTATATCTGCACTCTCATTCCACACCCATTTCCTGCCTGCTCCCCCTGGGCCAGGCACTATGCTAGGCCTGGGAACAAGATCAGTTCCAGTTCTCAAGGAACTGACTGGGTCAGTGTGGCCTAGTCAAACTTGGATTTTATTCTTTCTCATTGAGCATCTTATTTCCTATGTGCCTCAGCACTAGACATCAACAGAAGGCTACAACAAGACAGTGGTGGGTGTATTTGCCTATCTTTGGGGAAATGTGAGCTCACAAGCCACACTCTTACAGTCCCACTGGATACTTCTAAGTTGACCTTAAACATTCATTTGACCAATAAGAAAAGAAAATATGGAATGAAAATGCCTTCACACAGACCCAGTGTGAGCTTATTTGGAAGCATCAAAAGCATCACTACTTAGCTGCCTGTCCCTGTGGGTGAGTGTGTTTCTGGAATGAGACAACAGAGCATGAAAGAGCGCCGTCATGTCATCGTCTGCCGTGGATTCTCCAGCCCCAGTCTCCCTGCATCACATGAGGCTAGGGGATGGTGCTGTGGGTCCGCTGCAGCCGGGTGCACTTAGCTCATTCTGGCCAATTCTGTGCACAGCTAATAGTCATCCTGGAACGAGAGATGATCTTAACCAGCCAGCTCAGAGTCTCACCATGTATCTAAAACAGACTGTGACAATCTTCACATTTCCCAAAGAGTAATGAAAGAAAAAAACTGAAGTTCTTTTCCCTTGGTTTTGTATAGTCAAGGAATTAGGTCATAACTAGTATTATCAATTAGCAATTTTATTAATAAAGTCTGTATTAATACTTTTGTTAGAGATCCACACATTTGTTGGTTTCAACACATTCTGCTACCCCATTAAAGTCATTAGGGCCTCTCAGCAAATATTTAAATAATTTTTAAAGTAAAATTATTTCATTAGTCACGCATGTCACACAGGGATCTCACATCAATTGATATTTCACATATTGAGATCAAAAATCAAGAGAGAGCTAAGCTAAAAATTATGATTCATTTGTCACCATGTAGTGTAAGGAAAACCCTGATTTGTGAGTTTTATTGTTCTCTACTGAAGAGATTATATGTTTTTTCTTTTCCCCAAAGTCCCCCAGTACTTAGTTGTATATTCTAGTTGTGAGTCCTTCTAGTTCTGCTATGTGGGATGCCGCCTCAGCATGGCTGGATGAGCAGTGCTAGGTCCACGCCCGGTATCCCAACCAGTGAAACCCTGGGCCGCCAAAGCAGAGCACATGAACTTAACCACTCAGCCACAGGGCTGGCCCGAGATTATATTTTAATACACTCTTTCAGTCATAACATATTTCACAATGTAAATGTTTTCTTTATTGCTTATTCCACTGAATAAAAACAACACAAGAAGTATAAGTGCCATGTTGCTGACCTAGAAGTTGGAGCTCTGGTGAACACTTGGAAGCGTGTTGTTCAGATACAGTCAGAATTATATTGTAGCAGACAACAGCATGTGAAGCTAGAAATCTCAGGGTTGTTTTTTCTAGTTCTGAAACATTACTGAACTTCCCATGTCACTGTGATAACACAAAAACAGAGAAGGTAACGTGTAGAGGCTAAAATGACTCACTGAAATAAACTAGCAAAAAAGGCCTTCTAGAGGTAAAGTGTATACTTGGAATGTTCTGAAAATGTAAAAATGTTTTGGTTTTCATTGTCTTGATCTTAGACCCTTGAGTTTCTTCTACTGTGTCTGCTGGGACAACCTGGGCACAAGCCAGGGCTTGTCCATGCAAAAAATCAAGGCCTGGCCTGATGTTTGGATGCCTCTCTAGGAGGGGACATTTTCCTAAGAGAGTTTTTCTTCTTACCAAAGAAAATTTGTAAGAGAGAAATAATTCATTTTTTAAAACTGTATCCAAACTATGTGAGAAAGGAGATGATATGGGCATGCAAAGGTTAATTTCAACTACATGAGTGCCAGCACTCTGTCCCAAGAACCTAGGAACATTGTGACATCAAAAACATAAAACATAGGGGCTGGCCCTGTGGCCAAGCAGTTAAGTTTGTGCGCTCCGCTGCAGGCAACGAATCATGGGCACAGACATGGCACTGCTCATCAAACCACGCTGAGGCAGCGTCCCACATGCCACAACCAGAAGGACCCACAACGAAGAATATACAACTATGTACCGGGGGGCTTTGGGGAGAAAAAGGATAAAAGTAAAATCTTTAAAAAAACATAAAACATAGAGTGGAGGAGGAGTAAAAATGTAGAGCTTTAGAATGCATTCACACTTGAGTTATCATCTTAGACTATTAAATACATTGTTAGAAGATGTTTTATGTAAGCCTCATGGCAACAACAAAGCAAAAACCTATAGTAGATAGACAGAAGATAAAGAGAAAGGAATATAAGCATACCACTTCAGAAAATCATCAAACCGCAAAAGAAGAGAGCAAGAGAAGAAGAAAGGAACAGAGGAACTACAAAACAGCCAGAAAAAAATTAACAAAATGTTAATAAGCACACACCTATCAATAATTACTTTAAATGTAAGTGGACTAAACTCTCCAATAAAAACGTATAGAGTGACTGAATAGATGAAAAAGCAAGACCCGTCTATAATCTGCCTACAAGAGACTCACCTCAGACATAAGGATATACACAGACTGAAAGTGAAGGAACAGAAAAAGTTCCATGCAAATGAAAACCAAGAGAAAGCCAGGGGAGCTATACTTTATTAAACAAAATAGACTTTAAGACAAAGACTGTAATAAGAGACAAAGAAAGGCATTACACAATGATAAGGGGGTCAATTCAACAAGAAGATGTAACATTTGTAAATATTTATGCACCCAGCATAGGAGCACCTAAATATACAAAGCAAATATTAAGAGACGTAAAGGGAGAAATAGACAGCAATACAATAATAGTAAGGGCCTTTAATACCCAACTTTCGCCAATAGATATATCATCCAGACAGAAAATCAATAAGGAAACATTGGATCTAAACAACACATTAGACCAGAAGGACTTAACAGACATATATAGAACATTCCACTCAAAAGCAACAGAATACACATTCTTCTCAAGTGCACACCCAATGCTCTCCACGATGGAGCATATGTGAGGCCACAAAACAAATCTTAATAAATTTAAGCAGATTGAAATCGTATCAAGTATCTTTTCTGACCACAATCATATCAAGTATCTTTTCTGACCTCCTTTCTTATAAGAAGAAAACTGAAGAATTCACAATATGTGGAGATCGAAACAACATGTTACTGAACAACCAACGGGTCAAAGGAGAAATCAAAAAATACCTTGAGACAAATGAAAATGGAAATACAACATACCAAAATTTATGGGTTGCACCAATATTCTAGGAACATAAGAAGCTGTTGTTCAGCACCAGGAGATGGCATTAAATGTAGCCATATGTGTAAGGGCTCCAGGCCCTCAGCCCATCTGTGGCCTGGTTCTCTGACTCTCCCCTGCTTTAGCCCAGTGCAATGGT